AGGGTTATTATACTGACAGTGCACACACACAGAGAGGGTTATTATACCGACAGTGCACACACACAGAGAGAGGGTTATTATACCGACAGTGCACACACACACACAGAGGGTTATTATACTGACAGTGCACACACACAGAGGGTTATTATACTGACAGTGCACACACACAGAGGGTTATTATACTGACAGTGCACACACAGGGTTATTATACTGACAGTGCACACACAGGGTTATTATACTGACAGTGCACACACACACACAGAGGGTTATTATACTGACAGTGCACACACACAGGGTTACTATACTGACACACACACACACACACACACAGAGGGTTACTATTATGAATTGACAGTGCACACACACACACACACAGAGGGTTACATACTGACAGTGCACACACACAGGGTTATTATTATACTGACAGCACACACACACACACAGAGGGTTATTATACTGACAGCACACACACAGAGAGGGTTATTATGCTGACAGTGCAATACCACACACACAGAGGGTTATTATACTGACAGTGCAATACACACACAGGGTTAGACAGTGCACACACACAGGCTACATATAATTGACAGCACACAGGGTTATTATACTGACAGCACACACACAGAGGGTTATTATACTGACAGGCACACACACAGAGGGTTGGTTATACCCGACAGTACACACACACACACAGAGAGGTTAATTCTACTGACAGCTAATACACACACAATAATAGGAGACATACTGACAGCACACACAGAGGGTTATTATTATACTGACACAGCACACACACAGGGTTATTATACTGACAGTACACACACACAGAGGGTTATTATACTGACAGTGCACACACACAGGGTTATTATACTGGCAGCGCGCACACACACACACAGAGGGTTATTATACTGACAGTGCACACACACACACAGAGGGTTATTATACTGACAGTGCACACACACAGAGAGGGTTATTATACTGACAGTGCATACACACACAGTGGGTTATTATACTGACAGTGCATACACACACAGTGGGTTATTATACTGACAGTGCACACACACAGAGAGGGTTATTATACTGACAGTGCACACACACACACACAGAGGGTTATTATACTGACAGCGCACACACACAGAGAGGGTTATTATACTGACAGCGCACACACACACAGAGAGGGTTATTATACTGACAGTGCATACACACACAGTGGGTTATTATACTGACAGTGCACACACACAGAGAGGGTTATTATACTGACAGTGCACACACACAGAGAGGGTTATTATACTGACAGTGCACACACACAGAGAGGGTTATCATACTGACAGTGCGCACACACACACACACAGAGGGTTATTATACTGACAGTGCACACACACAGAGAGGGTTATTATACTGACAGTGCATACACACACAGTGGGTTATTATACTGACAGTGCATACACACACAGAGGGTTATTATACTGACAGCGCACACACACAGAGAGGGTTATTATACTGACAGCGCACACACACACAGAGAGGGTTATTATACTGACAGCGCACACACACACAGAGAGGGTTATTATACTGACAGCGCACACACACACAGAGAGGGTTATTATACTGACAGCGCACACACACAGAGAGGGTTATTATACTGACAGTGCACACACACACACAGAGTGTTATTATACTGACAGCGCACACACACAGAGAGGGTTATTATACTGACAGCGCACACACACACAGAGGGTTATTATACTGACAGTGCATACACACACACAGGGTTATTATACTGACAGTGCACACACAGAGAGGGTTATTATACTGACAGCGCACACACACACAGAGGGTTATTATACTGACAGTGCATACACACACACACAGGGTTATTATACTGACAGTGCACACACAGAGGGTTATTATACTGACAGTGCACACACAGAGGGTTATTATACTGACAGTACACACACACACACAGAGAGGGTTATTATACTGACAGTGCACACACACACAGGGTTATTATACTGACAGTGCACACACAGAGAGGGTTATTATACTGACAGTGCACACACACACACAGAGGGTTATTATACTGACAGTGCACACACACAGAGAGGGTTATTATACTGACAGTGCACACACACACAGGGTTATTATACTGACAGTGCACACACACAGAGAGGGTTATTATACTGACAGTGCACACAGAGAGGGTTATTATACTGACGAATTGCACACAGAGGTTATTATACTGACAATTTTTACAGAGGGTAATATACGACAGTGCACACACACACAGAGTTATTATACTGACAGTACACACACACACAGAGTTATTATACCTGACGAGTGCACACACACACAGAGGTTATTATACTGACGGTGCACACACACACAGAGGTTATTATACTGACAGTGCACACACACACAGAGAGAGAGGTTATTATACTGACGAAGTGCACACACACACACACAGAGGGTTATTATACTGACGGTGCACACACAGAGGTTATTATACTGACAGTGCACACACACAGAGAGGGTTATTATACTGACAGTGCACACACACAGAGTTATTATACTGACAGTACACACACACACAGAGAGTTATTATACTGACAGTACACACACACACAGAGGGTTATTATACTGACAGTGCACACACACACAGAGAGGGTTATTATACTGACAGTGCACACACACACACACACAGAGGGTTATTATACTGACAGTGCACACACAGAGTTATTATACTGACAGTACACACACACACAGAGTTATTATACTGACAGTACACACACACACAGAGGGTTATTATACTGACAGTGCACACACACACAGAGAGGGTTATTATACTGACAGTGCGCACACACACAGAGTTATTATACTGACAGTGCACACACACACAGAGGGTTATTATACTGACAGTGCACACACACAGAGGGTTATTATACTGACAGTACACACACACACAGAGGGTTATTATACTGACAGTGCACACACACACAGAGAGGGTTATTATACTGACAGTGCACACACACACACACACAGAGGGTTATTATACTGACAGTGCACACACAGAGAGGGTTATTATACTGACAGTGCACACACACAGAGAGGGTTATTATACTGACAGTGCATACACACACAGTGGGTTATTATACTGACAGTGCATACACACACAGTGGGTTATTATACTGACAGTGCACACACACAGAGAGGGTTATTATACTGACAGTGCACACACACACACACAGAGGGTTATTATACTGACAGCGCACACACACAGAGAGGGTTATTATACTGACAGCGCACACACACACAGAGAGGGTTATTATACTGACAGTGCATACACACACAGTGGGTTATTATACTGACAGTGCACACACACAGAGAGGGTTATTATACTGACAGTGCACACACACAGAGAGGGTTATTATACTGACAGTGCACACACACAGAGAGGGTTATCATACTGACAGTGCGCACACACACACACACAGAGGGTTATTATACTGACAGTGCACACACACAGAGAGGGTTATTATACTGACAGTGCATACACACACAGTGGGTTATTATACTGACAGTGCATACACACACAGAGGGTTATTATACTGACAGCGCACACACACAGAGAGGGTTATTATACTGACAGCGCACACACACACAGAGAGGGTTATTATACTGACAGCGCACACACACACAGAGAGGGTTATTATACTGACAGCGCACACACACACAGAGAGGGTTATTATACTGACAGCGCACACACACAGAGAGGGTTATTATACTGACAGTGCACACACACACACAGAGTGTTATTATACTGACAGCGCACACACACAGAGAGGGTTATTATACTGACAGCGCACACACACACAGAGGGTTATTATACTGACAGTGCATACACACACACAGGGTTATTATACTGACAGTGCACACACAGAGAGGGTTATTATACTGACAGCGCACACACACACAGAGGGTTATTATACTGACAGTGCATACACACACACACAGGGTTATTATACTGACAGTGCACACACAGAGGGTTATTATACTGACAGTGCACACACAGAGGGTTATTATACTGACAGTACACACACACACACAGAGAGGGTTATTATACTGACAGTGCACACACACACAGGGTTATTATACTGACAGTGCACACACAGAGAGGGTTATTATACTGACAGTGCACACACACACACAGAGGGTTATTATACTGACAGTGCACACACACAGAGAGGGTTATTATACTGACAGTGCACACACACACAGGGTTATTATACTGACAGTGCACACACACAGAGAGGGTTATTATACTGACAGTGTACACAGAGGTTATTACTGGGGGTCTCAGAGGAGGGGCTGAGGGGGCTCTTACCGATGCATTGCCCCACCGGGGTGCTGTACGGATTCCCCAGCAGAAACTCCATCTTGATGACAACAAACAACCGGCCTCAGTTATCCCTCAGAGCCCAGGGCAGGCCCCGCCCCGCCCCGCACTCCTGACTGCCTATTGGACAGCGCTGGGCAAACCCAGTTCTTATTGGTCACCATTCCCGTCAATTAACAGCACACTAACGCTGAGTTCCCGCCTATCTGAAGGGAAAAGCGCGTCGATTGGCTGATCTGCGTGTCAATCATCTTCCAGACGAGGGGAACCGGTGTCGCTCGCAGTGATGAACCAATCACAGCCCCGCTCTCAGCGGTGACCTCAATAGCTTTGTCATTGCTGCGGTCCATCACCGAAGCTCCGCCTATCGATGACAACTTCGCATCTCGGAAGCTGATTGGTCCTGTAAAAAAAAAAAACTGAATGGGAAAGCTTTATGTGTACATTGTTAGCATGTGTACGAACAAAGCTGGCAATGCCTTGTTGCCATTAGCAACTAACAACCAAGAAGCTGTTTCACATCATTGCAAAGCTGAGGCCGAATATTGGGAGCAGGTAACAAGCTGTGCCAGGGCCAGGGGTGCAGGGACCTCCTGAAATAGGACTATATTAATAATATGACATACTGATAGGCTGGGACAGCTGATCATTGGCACCATAACTACTGTGCCAGGCTGTGCCTTGTGTGAAATCAAAGATGGATGCCCCCAGTGCCCAGCCACCCATCTGCATGGACTCTTGTCAATCATGGGGAAATAATTTTTAATCATTTCCAAATGGGTCTGCGACCATACTACTATTTACCTGATAAATAGATATTTTCCCCCCAATAAATCCACTCTGTTAATAAAGGTCCCTTTTAATATTAAATGGAAATGTTCAATAATGATAGCTAAATGAAGGCTGTGACACAGACATATCCAACCTTGTGTACATGGGAGGATAATGTGTATTTTCTCTCTCTGATGGGAATTTACCCAACAACCACGTAGAGCAAACATTGTAGATTAAGAGTTTGGAGTAGGTCGGAAGGTTTGGCACTAAGTGCGAGGGATTTTGCGGATGGGCATTTTTGTTATAGTGCCCCAAACGTCCTAAAGTTAATCTAGGATACAATTAAACTCCCTGCATAGGAAGCTATGGTCTGATCATAACCTTTCTAGTTCTTTAAGATATTTAGTGAGGAATTGGATTTGTATTTGGAGCTCAGATGTTCACAGGAGTTATCTTGGTATCGTTTAGCATTCCCACCGGAAATAGGACTCTACTCCACTTGTCCAAATACTGTTTCTGTGAAGTCCCAGTCTCTGGCCACTACTTTTGGTTGGAGAGTGGGTTGCGGCTGCAGAAGTGCATTTCCTGAAGACACACCACTGATACACCAATCTTGTTCAATTATTGGAATGCTAGCCGCCTCTTATGAAGTGTCTTGAACCCCTTTGCATTTAATGTAATGGATTTAAAGGTTGCCTACACAACACGCATAGTTTAAACGTGATTTCTTATTGGATTTGTGTGGGCTTCAGCACACCCTGACGACGTCGTGTTCACTCCCCAAAATGCACGTCGGACGTTTATAGCTCACTTTGCGTGAACACACTCGGTAGATGTCAAATCGGGTGTATTTATGTACAATGTCACCTAGAATGAGATTTCCAGCCTAGGTTTGGTGGATCACTCACAACATGCGACTGTACACGGTGCACTCCTAGCCATGTCCCTTATAAAATACTTTTTAACTTAACCCCTATACTACTTTTGGTCTCCCTTGGCAGTTTAGTGGCAAGAACTATGCCTTTCTGACTCAGTGTCTCTTCTCCCTTGTGCCGTGGATGTTCTTTAAATACAATAACAATAGCTAGTCATGAAGAGGTGACTGCAGTATATGCAAAATACAGAGAGGGAGATTCATCAGTGTTGTATTCTGAAAAGTAGAGGAGAAGTCAGTGGTGGAATATTTCTACTGATTGCCCTAAACTTAGTACTTTGAATCATGTATTCAACATAGCACATTGTCAACTCTACCCCAAAGTATAGGACAGAGCCCATTTTAATGAATAATGTGCTTCAGGTGCTGTGCCACTAAAATCATCTGTCCCTTTATTGTTATTACACAGAATGTGTCCACATAAATTCTGTTTCTTCTTCATTAAGGTGAATACAGAAAATGAGCGGTCTCTATGGCACAGTTGAACCCAATGTGATTGATGATCACATGCTTAAACTTGCCGTGGAGGAACAAGGTCCAAAAGATGAAGCCGGATATATTGCCAAGAGGGAGGGTATTGACTTCAAGGATGTGACCAGCCTGCATCTGGATTTTAAAAGTAAGCCATTCTCTACAACTTCTTATAGAACATATGGCTGTATGTTTCATGTATTTTAATGACCGATTATTGATGTTATGTAAAAAGCACCAACATGTTCCCCAGAGATGTACAAATGGAAAACCAAACTTATAGCAATGACAATTTTAAACAAACAAGAACAAGAGGTGTCAAGGTCCTGCTATAACAAGATGAATGTAACACAAATCTTTGAGAGACTATCTCAGGAAGCTGGAGCATTGGTCATTGGATAGAAGTTCAGCTGCAGGCTTTCAGAGATGCAGGAATGACCAACCGGGCCTTTCATCTTTCCTAAGTTAACACATGAATACCATTAAGCTGGAAGACAATATCAGATAGAATCCAGAAAGTATTGAAAAAAGCTAAATAATAATACAGTATGTGATGATAAGAATCTTTTCCAGATTACGACTTTTCATGATATACCTATAAAGAACATACTGTGTGTAAATATGGCATTACATATATAGACCGTACCTATATAGCCACCTCACGTATGGTAGAATCCTGAATTTACTCTTTCTTCGGCTCCTACCCATGTTTTTCAGACTCCTTTATGACTCCAGTAGACTTTTCCCTAACCATTTCCATATGGTGCGGTTCATCAGACCCCATTACTTTAATCCTTCCTTCTCACCAATTATTATTTATAAAGCACCAACAAATTCCATAGCGCTGTACAATTTGTGGACTAAAAGAAAAGTATTTGTAATAAGACAAGTTGGATGCACTGGAACAGAGGGTGTTACTCAAACTAGCTTACAATAGACCCTGAGCTCTACTTGTCCTCTCCCATATCCTACGTATCACTATTCATTACGATGTTCGCATCCTTGCCTCTCCTGCAGTTGTTAGCGTAAATTCCCATAATCCTTTGCCAGGAAATTGGCTGCGTAAGAATCATGAGAAGTGTAGTGTGAATAACAAATGGAGAACCAAGGTTAGATCACCTTTTTTTGTCTTAGAAAACCAATGTATGAAAGGCGATGAAATGACACAAACATGTGCTTTCTTAATCAACCCATTCTGCTTACTCTGTAACTGTGTTCTAGATATCCAGAGGATTGATAACCTATGGCACTTTCCAATTCTAACAAAATTACAGCTAGACAACAACATTATTGAGAGGATTGAAGGATTGGACACCTTGGTGAATTTAACTTGGCTTGGTGAGATTCTGAGGCATTTTGGGTTCAAGATGTTACAGCGCTGCGTAAGGTTAAATGTTACGAAGAATAGCTGAGGCCTTATCACTTCTCATAGAATTGCAACTTTATAAAATGTTACCAGCTTTTATACCTACCTGAAATTGGTGCGTTCATCTATATTGGCTTTTCCCTCTGAATAAGGATTATTCTGCTCTTTTTAAATGCCATAGCAACCGATCCTTGAATATAAAAAAAATACACTACAGCTTTTACCTGTGTCAGAGTCTGTTTTACTGGCCAGTCGAATACTCTAAACACTAAGTAATCCACGTCATCAGAATGTGGCTGTGCTGTATTGTTCTGATTTATTTATATCCTTGCAGATTTGTCATTTAACAATATCGAAGTGATCAGTGGCCTTGATGCCTTGACTAAATTGGAAGATCTCAGCTTGTACAATAATAGGATATCTGTGATCGAGAACATTGGCCATCTGAAAAACCTCCAAGTCTTGTCCCTGGGCAACAACAACTTGTCCTCCCTGGAAAATGTAAGCCTGCAACAGGTGGAAAATGTGGAGTTTGTGTATAGATCATGCCCCTGCAGTCTGCTCATTTCTCTACCATTGAGGAGTTAAATAATTTTTTTACTGTTTATGCAGACCTAGTCACACCTTCCCTGGCTGTGACTCATGCAGCCCGCATGAAAATAAGGGTTTCATTGTCAGTCAGACATTAATTTCCTTTAGACGTTTTTATCTCCTGCTCTGTATGTTGAACTTTAATCACACATAGGATACTCCTGAAGGGTCTATCAAGCTATTAACAGTGCAGAAGATAAATTCTAAATTAAACAGACTGTGCAATAAAGGAAGTGTAAACATTAGATCTATCTTTACAGGAAGTATTTAGGAAGGCTGTGTAAGTCGCATGCAGGGAGGTGTGACTAGGGCAGCATAAACAAAGTTATTTAACTCCTAAATGGCAGAGAATTGAGCAGTGAGACTGCAGGGGCATGATCTATACACTAAAACTGCTTCATTGAGCTAAAGTTGTTTTAGTGACTATAGTGTCCCTTTAATGTTCTTTTTTTTTTTTTTACAAAACAGTTAATTGTGAGAAATTGAAAAATTCATTATAACATTTATGCCTAAGTAAATGAATAGGAAAATAAATTTTTTTCAACTCACTGTTAAGTAAATAGCGCCCAGATTGGCCACTAAGCTGAAAGCAGGTACATGTATGTTACCCAATTTCTTTTCCCCTGCACACCAGCTCATCTACCTGCGAAGGTTCAAGGCGTTGCGGTCATTAAGTTTAAATGGAAATCCGCTGTCAGAAGACGAACAATACAAAATGTTCATTGCTGCTCATCTTCCAGATCTAGTGTATTTGGATTTCAGACTACTGGACGAGAACATCGTAAGTTAAAAGAGTAACATTAAAAACCTCCTTCTTCATAAAAGTGTATCAACGAAACTGTTAATACCTCCCGACCGATTCCTCTCTTGGAACTGTCATTAGTCTAATACTATCCTTACCTTTTTGTGTTATTTTACCCCACTCCCTCTAGCATGTAAGCCCATTGAGCAGGGCCCTCAACCCCTCTGTTCCTGTGTCCAACTTGTCTGGATACAACTACATGTGTGTTCGTCCACCCACTGTAAAGCGCTGCGGAATTTGTTGGCGCTATATAAATAGTAACAATAATGTGAGAAATATCAGCTACTTTGAAAGCTAATGTTGCAACATTTGAAGATGATTTCATTTGTAAGATCTTGTATCATAGGGAGACATTAATAACCGCCGTCTTGTATGATAGAGACACGAACCATGTCCATCTTTAATCACAGAGAGAAATTGCCAACGTGAAGTTCCAATATTCCATTGAGGAGCTGAGTCAAAACGAGAAACTGGAACAGGTCAAGCAAGATAAAGAGGAACAAAAACGTCGGGAGTTGGATTCACACAAGGTACACTGTAACACTCGCCATGACATGTTAAATCTCCCCTGTGCATGATCCGACGGGGAATCTAGCATTATATAAAAATCATCCACATTTGCCCTAATATTTACATGCAACAAAATTCCTCAAGAATAGTTTGATCACTGTCAAATTGTGCCTTAGGTGGAGAAGAACTTCTTTTTAAACATGGATGCTAACTGTATCACAGTCATAGCATTTAACTTACGTTAACAATGAAATATAAATTCCCAATGCCTTTTGATCTATCAGTTTGGATAATGCTGTCTATAGATCAAATTAGTTCTCTTTAACCTCTTAAGGACACATGACATGTGTGACATGTCATGATTCCCTTTTATTCTAGAAGTTTGGTCCTTAAGGGGTTAAAGCAATCCTAAAGCACATTTAAATAACTAGTGTATGTGATTTATCTGTAGCCACATAAATTGGGTGTCTGGTAGTGTTAAAGTCATTGTATTCATCTCTCTGTCTATACATCTATTTTTTTTATGGTTTAGGCTGCCTATGTTGAATTCCTGAATGGCCCATTCTTTTTTGAAAGCATATATGCGGAAGATGTAGAAGGTTTGAAGATAGCCAGCCTTCCAGGTGTAGCGGAATTAGTGGACTTATATCCTTTGTTAAAGATGTTTGTTGCAACTTGATGAAAATCAGAAATTTACCGAACAATTAATTGTAATGAATGAATGAATCTCTCTTTCTCGTGATTATCTAAGAAAAATCAGAATGTTATATAGCTAACATTTTAATAGTGTTCGAGGAATTAAGGTCCATGGTGTTGAAGTCATATACTTTCGTAATAATATGAAGATGGAAGATTTTACTAAATAAAAACCAAAACAACATTTTGTTTGAAAATGTTGATGAAATAAATGCCAGATCCAGTTTATGATCAGATTTTCCAAAGATAACATGAATTAAGAGAAGTGTTGAAGAGTTTTTGTGAAAGCGCTTTGTACTACTTACCCTTTAATCAATGAAAGTTTCACGCTTTCTGCCAAGTATTACTCTTGAACTCTCGTTTCATGCATTAGGTGTGTCTGTTATATCTTCATCTATACAAAACTCTATATGGCTTGAAGGCTGCACAGTCTCTTATCTCGTTTTCTTCTTCAGTCCTGGAAATTGGTGGCACCGGGTTATGACATCATATTCCAGCAACAAGTCCACCACTGACACGTCTGGTTTTTAATGTAACCATGAACCTTGTTTACATTTTCACACAGTTTTTTTTGTTTTGTTTTTTTACATATTATCACTGTTCTCACTAAGAACCAATTTACTTTCATGCGGGTGCAACACTGAAATGTAAAGAAACTGATCACAAAGTAATGCAAACAGCTGTGATCCCCCCCAATAAAGCTGGACTTTTACCTACTGATCCTCTCCCATAAATTATCTCGAAGGGAACACAGTGTATATCTCAATGTGTGTTTTCTTGGTTTTCTGATTGTCATTGAACATTCGTTGTCATTTGTAGCTATGGCTTATCTAGTCTACTTTACACACAAGGACCTGGGTCACCTGTCGTCTTTGGGGAATTACATGCTGTGAACAAAGTTTGGATTCCTTAACCCATTTCTTACATACAGGACTAAATGCACAGCAGTTTGCCAGGCCATTTTTGATTACGGCATTAAACATCATGGGGTGCGGACGGCAGAGGAGGCCCTTTTTAATGAATGTCTGCAGGAGGCAGTTTGTGAAAACCAGACGATGGGAGTTAAGAAAATCAAAGAGTTTGAGGAAAAGAACTCTGAGGTATGGGATGGCATAGAGCTATGATGGCTAATCTTCAAACACTGGATTGTGAAAAACTGGGATAGAGACTGTGAGATTCTGAAATGAGGCCAAGAGCCACTGTCTTACTTTATCCAAGTCTATGATATAAAAGCTGTATTTACATGGCATTTCATCTGCTCTGTTATGTTCATTTACAGGTTCTCAATGAACTGACCCACATCACTGACCAACAGAAGATCGATGATACAATCTTCCAGTATAATCAGGACATTAACCAGCTGTCGGAATCCTTGCTGGCTCTGGAGCTGCAGCTAGTGAAACAAATAGAGGTAAGACGAGACCGTGTACCCTTGTGTGACAGCGCTAGTTGCTCTTTTCTGTATTCGTAATTATAAAAAATATATTTTCTCTCTGGACAGGACATCACCAAGGATTATGAAAGAAATATCACTGATATGACCTCAACTTTCCTGGAAACTATACAAGGCTTATATCCTTTCTTTGCTTTATAGAATTGTTTTGTAAGATATAGAAATACACACACAACATTAGTCACTAAAGTATGAACTGCCAGGAAGTCAATGTAAATGTACAATTGTAGGCCAAAATAGGCAAACTGCAAACATGTCTGACTTGGAATATATTTTTCCAATTTGACTATTGTGGGCTAAAATGTCAAAGTCAATTTAACTTTTAGGCCAAAATTGCTGAATTAAAAAAAATGTCTTATTCGGCTATTTTTAGATTGGTTTAGATTTGTAAATCCTTTGACATTTCTTGAGACTTCCCAGTTTAGTGTGTTGAGGCTAAATAATTCTATTTGGTGATCACCAAAATACATATAGATATGTACTGAAAATTTATTTTAATACCCGTGACCAGGCTTATTTTTCTGTACGTAGCCCAGGTTTAGGTTGCACAATGTGTCTAGTGTTAGAGAAAGGGTAAGATATAACTTAGATACCCAATGATTTAATACATTTTGTGAGCTATAACATGCTTCCAGAACACAAGCTTTAAAGGCTTTTTCTTACTCTAGATGTATGGATAGTTCTTACAGTGCATTATCAACCCTCAGTGTCACCCACACACTTTATTTCAGTCCCTTAACCTCCACCTTTACCATGACGCAAATCCGAGACATGGAGAATGAACATCACGAGAAGCTCCAAGAGATTGGTATCAACTTGCTGGAGAGGGTTATCAAGGGAGAGATGGACGAGGACATGGCCGATGATCTCAGAGCGGTATGTCCCTCACTCCCAACTCAGTCACCTATTTGACTAGTTTAAATGATATAGTTTTAAAAGTGGTGCAATCACCGTGAATATTCCAGCTAATTGATCCACCATTAGAATGTTGCCTTAAAGGACCACTCTAGGCACCCAGACCACTTCAGTTTAATGAAGTAGTCTGGGTGCCAGGTCCTTCTAGGGTTAACCCATTTTTTCATAATTATAGCAGTTTCAGAGAAACTGCTATAATTATGAATGGGTTAAGCCTTCCCCCTAATCCTCTAGTGGCTGTCTCATTGACGGCCACTAGAGGCGCTTGCGTGCTTCTCACTGTGAAAATCACAGTGAGAGCACGCCAGCGTCCATAGGAAAGCATTGTAAATGCTTTCCTATGAGACCGGCTGAATGCGCGCGCAGCTCTTGCTGCGCGTGCGCATTCAGCCGGCGGGGCGTAACGGAGGCGGAGAGTAGGAGGAGAGCTCTCCGCCCAGCGCTGGAAAAAGGTAAGTTTAAACCCCTTTCCAGAGCCGGGCGGGAGGGGGTCCCTGAGGGTGGGGGAAAACGAGTATGTTTTCCTGGCACTATAGTGGTCCTTTAAAACTGCTCTTAATATAAGTCTATATTCATTATTATCAAATAACATCTTAATCTTAGAGGGAGCCACTTGAATGCATTATGTATATACTGCAATAGAAAAAACAGAAGCAGCTGGCAAATCCCGGACAAGAAAAAGGCTCCATCAGTCAACCACCTCTTCCATAAAACCTCCATACATCAGAGGTTTATGGGATATGTAGTTCAGTCACTGGCTGCCGTTCCATTCAGGATCTAATGTGTAGAGGAAGCAGTTCCTGCTAGAGTCAAATGGGAGGCTTGTGCTGGGTACATATGTTACTAACTAGTAGCACGTTGCTAATTATTCCTAAATACTGATCTAAATATCTGACACCCATATTTACTGTCTTGGCAGCTTTTTGCTGATAAGGATACAATCATGAATGCATTAAGTTCCTCCCACGAAATCCACTTGCTGAAAATCGATAATCGTGAAGACGATATTGTTACTAAAATCAACAACTGGTCAACTAGCCTTAGCACAAAGGTAAGAAGCCTTGGGATCCGGATTCCAACTCCTAAAAACTTAACTGGCACACGTGCTCTCTTTTTCTCCTTTTTAACTTCTTCTGTTCCTTATCCTTTATTGAACAAAAAAATAATATATTATTATACCTGAAAGCTTGTTATTGGGCACAGGGGCATGTGAGAGGGAACAAGTCCCTGTGTCCAACAACATCTCACCCTTCTAACCAGCGAGCCCTTGTGCCCATAAATCTTGTCTTCGTAGTGAGGAACATCCAATTGTCTTACCAGAAAGTTAATCTCCCACAAACCTATGCTCAGATTAGGTTACGTGAAATGAAGTCCAACATTCCCATCACAGCTTCTTTTAGCTTCCTGAATAGCTTCATTCATGTTTTTTTATGAATGAAACTAATCTTGAAAATGCATGTGTGTAAATGTGGGTCTGTAGAGACCCTTCACAAATCACAGAATTTCTGCAGCAACACGGTTAAAATAAGGAAAGCAATCTATCCACCAATGCAACAAAGATGGATGTGTTGGAAAAGTAAGAGATAGGGACTTTATCTGTGGTACTGGCTAATTAAATTCTTAATTGATCAAATTCTTTGTATCATGTTCCCCAAGGTGCATAAAGATGAACTGCTAAGAAATCGCAAGCGAGTGGCTGAAATCAACAAGTTCATGGATCACCTGCATGACGAGTTGGACAATCTAGAAATTCATGATCAGATATGACCACTAGCACGGTCACCCATTGCCAGTACGTGCTAATTATCCCTGCAGGGCTGGAAACAAATGGAAGGGACTTGGAAACCTTCTCAGTAAAAAGAAGGTGGTTTATGGTTTTATAGACTGATGTTTTCTGCTGCCAAAGATCTGCATTAAAAGCTTTTATGCAGGATTATTAATGATCTGTATTCACCATCACATTCTGGAAGGGCAAAGGGCAAGCAGGATGAAACTCAACTGATGCATTTGATCAGACAATTTCTATAAAGAGTTTTCTATAAATAAATACACAGTTTCAATGATGTTCATTATTCTTAGTATTGCAAATCAAATTATTACAATACTCAAAGACTGTTATATTTAGGTTACACAGTGATATAGCTCATGTTATATTATTTATTAGTATGGTATTACAGGACCAGCTGCACCTGTAATCAGTATCTTTCCCTATGCTGTTTGTGTTTATCCGTGTTTTTACATCTAAAACGGACATTACTGGCATTTGTCAGTGCAGGATGCATGCATCAATTAAGCCACTATTCTTGCTACTCGGATCAGCATAATATTCTAATATTTGTGAAACACAAGTAAGGTAGAAAGACTCAAATGTAAAGAGAGTATACGATGCTTTGAAATGATTCAAGTGCTTTAAAGCAAAGTTGTACCTGATAGAGAAACATATCAATCTAAAAGTGGCCAAAAGGTAGATCCACTACTTTTGTTAAACTGGAAATACTACAGGGGTGTCTTCCTTTTGATTAACCTTGGATAAATCAACTTCCTTATCGAACAGCACAGATTCCTCTCCCTTGCTCATGTTCACAAGCTTAAAATGCGTTTAAAGTGAGGATATGGTTGTGTCAGAGTTTGCAATGGCTGTTGCTTGTGTGTGTTCCATAGACAAAATTCCTATCAGTCACTAGAAACTCTTACAGATTGCGTACTTGCAAGAACTCTACAAAATGAGTTTTTCTTTTGTTGTAGTTAATTTGGAATGTCCTTTTAAAAGGGTAGAATGTGTGGCATTTCCATTGTTCGTGAGACAAAGCACAGGGCATAAATATTTTTGAAATATCACAAGGGCAGAATAATTAATTATATCTTACAAAACTATTCACTTTACCAGGAATTGCTGAGAATTGATATAAGTACCTACCAATTTTATTGCAGTTTAGTGAATACACCCCTATATGTAAATCTTTGTTTATCTCAAAAGGTCACTCCGAACTCTGATCTGCAGTACCAACATTCTGGAACCAAAATAGTGACTTTGTTTCCCACAGTAAAGCGCGTTTGCCTTCAGTTCATTAAAGGTATGGCACAAACAGAGTTTACCAAGTGCAGATTACCCATAAAGGTGCAATGAATAATCAGTTGTATTTTGTCACCTTTTAATTTTGTTGGGATGTTCAATAAATGCAATCCAGGACAGGAATAGAAAGATCCTTGATTGGCCAGTGTTCTTAATATCAACCATTATGGCCGAGCAATGTTGATGATTACAGCTTTTCGCTGTAATCATAATGATTCACAGTGCACACCTAGAAATCACTTACTAGGATTGCACCATTTTAAATTATGTAACAAAATTATGTTTTCAATAGTTTCCACCAGTGAATTAGAGTCACTGTCAGGAGGCCCTGGAGGGTAGTACGATCTCAGTTGCATGTGTAGATATCCCAGCATGGAGTTAGTCTTGCAGGAGTTTGTGTTTGACAGTCGAGCTTTCTGAGCAGAGGTGAACAAACAGGACGCCTGCGGCTGTGCGAGCACTCAATTCTTGCAGGTCATATTCGTGAACCCACTCTACGTTTCCCCACTGCCCGATCTGAATCAGACAAAAACAATTAAAGGATTATCAGAAGAGTCTTTTCATCTACATTCAACATCATAATTCCAAATAATTCTAGATGAGACAACCCTTCACTACCAACAACCTGTAAACATAGGCTATATATTATGTTTTGCAATGCCAAATGAAATATAATAACCTACTTGCCTACATTTCTGCTCCAGTGCATGTCTTTGCCTTGCTGAAAGCCAATTATTTAAATGTATTTATTTTTACAGCTAGAGTTCTAGTCAGTCCTTCTGTTTTGAGCAAAGCATTGAACCAGTATCACAAGCAAAGCTACAATGTATAATCTCTCATATCTTACATACCCTGCAATTTCTAGAACAGTTGAGTAAATACATACAAAAACTAGAAATTCTGTAAATTAACCATTTTTAGGTGATGTCACAGAGATCTATGTTTGATATTGTTGTCCTAATTGAATGTGCTTTAAATAAATTAGTCTTTTTAACAAGAACTTGTTAGAGATAGGTTTAACGGTCACATGGCATAAATACAGAGACAGCAGATATGCAGGGGAAGGCATGGAAAGCTTTGTGAGATCAAGTAGAAGCTCAGCGCAAATATAGAATAAGCCCTTGTACGGAAGAAGTCATGCAGTGTATTATGGCAGCAGTAATGTGGTGTAAGTAGAATAGTGTGTGCATGAGAACACTTGCAACGTTATGGCTACAGCAGTGATCCAGTGTAAGTAATGAATCAGCATGTATTTTACCTGGTACTCTTCTTCCAGTCGTGAGAGAAGTACGGCCTTCTCCACCGTCAGTGCTCTGTCAATCACTCCCATAGCAAGAATCAGGGACTTCAGCTGTGCAATGATGAATTCAATCCCTGAATGACAATTGAAAGGGAGAATCACTGAGGAAGGCCAAATATCAGTAAAAGTATAGGACAAGTAACCATTTAAAGGGACACGGCAGGATGGAGTTACCCATTCTTGATTTATACGGATATCTTTAGGTCTGTCTATGTAAATGAAATTAAAAAATTATATCCCGATCTGGAGTTCCTGCGTGTGCTGTAAGTAACCAACAACAGAGAGCTGCCAACTAGACTACAACTCCCAGAATCCCTTGGCGTGCAGCATCTCAGGATATTTCAAATATTTGTGCACAGAGACAGACTGATAACACTCTTGGCCTGAAGGTAAAAATGTGTCCTTTTTAGTACACAATATAATCATAACACAACAACTGAAATAAAAATAAGTGAATGAATCAGTACACATATTTTTTGAATATCAAATATAGAAATACTTCACAATGTCCATGGCTTTCTTAGGGACCTCCTAATCACCATAAACAGCCTGTACAAACAAAACATATATGAGGATGCAGTCAATTCTAAATAGAAATACAAAACAATAACAGTGTTGTACCTGAAGTACCAGTGAATCACAATGTGTATGTATCACACTCACAAACGTGTTTAAGGGCCTTGATTGATACAATATGTATTCACCTCCCCCCAAATAGATTGGTTCCATTCTCTTTACTAAAGTTGGATCTAAACCATTTGGGGTTTGAATACATCTTTTATTATTCAAGGACCTTATCTTGAACACGTTTGTGAGTGCGATAGGTTAACATACAATTGTTTTATATGTTTCTCTGTAGAATTGGCTGTATTTGTTCTATTTGTACTAACAATATAATCTTCGAATAAAAAATATCCCACGATTGATCTTAATCCGCCTTTCCATGACAAGGATTCCCTCTGTCCATAAACCACATCCCCCTGTTTGATCATACCTAGTAATGCCCAGGAATTGTATGATGCCAAGTGACGAGTAAATACATCTTTAGTTTCTCTCGGGATGCTAGGTCCCAGAATAAAAGTAGAGGAGCCAATCAGAACATTGTACCTGTAAAAAAATAAATAAAAACAGTTAATAGGATTGGTGAATAGGAAACTGCTTATACCTATATTTGTAATAATACCGCTTATATCTATATTTGTAATAATAAACCTGGATACTTTCAGTTTTCTGGTGGAGTCACCATCTATCTCTACACGTATTCCAACTTTCCTCACATGTATGTAATTTGTATTCTATATATGCAATTTGACATGTCTAATGAAGCAGCACCAAGATGCAAAATTCTCTAAAGGACCACTCCACACTTCCAAAACCAACCAAAAAACCCACAGTTTGGTAGATATATCACAATGAATACATGCATTCATATTTTATGTATGTATTCATTGGGAGTATAGTCTAAAAGAGTTTACAAAAACATAAGCCCTCCCCTTTTTCCTGAAAGTTTCAGTCTCTTCACAGAGAAATAACCAATCAGAGGCTTCTCAATGAGCGCTCGCATATCTGGAGCTGTGCATCTGGCCTGGGTTCTGTGAGGGAGGCAGGCATACTCAAGTAGAGCGTGCCTGACACTTCCATTAGCTTAAGGGAGCTAATGGAAATATTAAGGAATCCTCTCTGGTTGTTTAACAGCCAGGGAGAGTTCCCCAGTTAATTTATAAAAGTGCTACTGAGGTTAAACTAGGCTACTCCTCACCCATAGCTCACTTCGGCAAGCAGAAGTACTTTTGGAGTGTGGAGTGGTCCTTTAAGTGTTGCAGTGCAGCCAACTTCCTCTGCAACTTTGTGTTGCAAGGCTGATAACACAGCGTATCCAGCAATGACGCTCATTAGGGAGAGTGGCCTATGACTGTAGGGATATAGATTTTAAATTTAATGTCTCACCTCTTTTCTGCCCATTCTATAATGGGATCCCACTCGTTGTTTTGCAATTCCACCAAAGACTGCGGTTCTTCTACTCGGTAACTGAAAGAGAAGGGTAATATGTTATCTCATAGTTGTAATGAAGGAGCTATTTCGATCAGTGGGTCACAGACCACAATTATTACAGATATTATTTAAAGGATTAAACCCAAATGTGTCTTTAAACAGTCAGAGGGAATTTGCCCCAATACTGAAGAGCCTAGAGAGGAGTGATCAGAATCACACTAACCAAACGACTCTTATGCTGTAGTTGGTTTTACTAAATACTGTAGTGTTAGGGGGTGTGGGGTAATATCTATATATAATTTATTTTTAAAAGGTGTGAGTTTTACCAAAAATAACATATTGAGTAAGACAGACAATGTCTACTAAAGGTTTTACAAGTTGTGGATACACACACTGTTGACATATCTTGTGTCAGGGACCTAGTAGGACTGATTTTTATTGGACAACTGTGGTCCAATTCATATTTAGCAGAACAAGAGTTCTAACACTGAACATTCCCTTTCATTGGGATATGTTAAAGTGTGGAAAACATTTTTCCGACCTTGATCATAGCGTGATTAGCTTCCCAGCACAACACACAAATAAAACCATCACCAATCTCAGATCAAATCCAGTGAGGACGGCACAAAATATAATGTAGACCCCTTCACACACCTCCTATGTTTAATATATGGTCACACTCTTACCAGACTGTGTCTGTTTCTAAGAATTTCAGTGCTGCGTTGATGAGTTGCTCCTTCTGCCTTAGTGTAGGGTTGTCCAAAGCAGTGTTGCAGAGTGTGGTCTACAAGTTAGAAAATAAAACCTTCAGTTCCCAAAGAAACATGGAATATTGGAATCAACCCTTTAGGTGCCTGTGATTTTGTGCCTTCCTTACCAGATGCATGGTGAAGAATTTGATTTTGTCTCGCTGAGAGTCCCACTCAGTGGCCACAGCGATAGCCAATGCCTCACTGGGGACAGAGAACAACTTTCCTGCGGGGGTCTTCAGTTTCCGGCGATCCAGGTTAATTTCAAACCCGGCTATGGGCAAACGCAAAGAGTAATTGACCGAAATGAATTGGGGTCAGAGGGCAGACCACTAGCAAGCATAATATGATACTCTGCCAAAACTTTTGTTACAATTTTACAGCTGGAGAACTTAATTTGCCCACCCAAGACCTAAACTGCTCCATTCAATCCATACTTAAAACAATATCCTCTATTTGTTTTTTCTATACCACAGTCAGGTATTTCATTTAATACTGTAAACATAATGCACTGTAGAACTTAATCAGTTAACATGCATTCTGTAACACTGTATCTGTGAGTTTGAACCAGCATTTACAGTGTGTAAATGAAAGCTTGATTCTTCACTTTGTTGTGATTTTAAATAAATGTTTAAGCAGTACTGTCACTGGTGAGATATTTCATGAACAACCCAGTGGATGGGACTAAACATGTGGCTCTGAAAACAAAAGTGCCATCATAACCCAAAATATACCAGATGAAGGCAGGATGCACTGGAGAGTCTGACTTAGGCTTCCCCAAACTCTGGCCCTCCAGATGTTGCTGAACTACAACTCCAATGATTCTCAGCCTATTTCATTCATAGAATTAAGGGAGTTGTAGTTCAGCAACATCTGGAGGGCCAGCGTTTGGGGAAGCCTGGTCTAACAGCACACTGGAACACATTGGAGAGTCTAACAGCACACTGGACCTTGCACTGATTAATGATAAAGTCTCACAATACAAAAAAAGTACTACAGTTTCTCGTTTTCTGTTTTGTTTTTTAAGACAGAACAAGTCCTTGTGCTGTTTAACTGAAAGACACTACAATAACTTTGAGTATACAAAATCTATATTAGATGAGGTAATCCATGCCAAGTTTAATTTAATCACTGTAATAATGGTGCTGTGAACAAGAGTTGAAAATGCTATTTTTTAACATCCTCTACAATATACTGCTACAACAGCAATTTACTGACAGTTTAGACATGTTCTATTCTTTTATGATGAAGACACATGAGAGAGTGTAAATAATGGTTCTTAAAACATACCTTCTCCTTGAGATATACTGACATTTTCATAGAACCTCCTTCTATCTACAAAACAAGAATAACACTTGGTTTAGCAGTATGTTTGTTACATCTCTCTGTCAGTTATTAAACACATGATCCTTAATTATATAATCAGTGATATCACTGTGAAACTATAATCAGGCTGGATTTATCAAATTAGACATCCTACATGCCAGCAAGAAAGGGTTAATATGCTTTGCCCAGGTAATAGTATAAGTTATTTATAACCATCCCTTAGTGACTGTGCCACTCGAGAAAGACAGCGCAACCTGTATGATGACAATCAAAGAGAGCGCAGTACAGGTTCCAACAATACCAATATTTTCAACAATAATTTTAAACAGACAGCATTAATTCAGATGTAATGGAATGTTCAAATAGCTCATTAAATTGTCTGTCATAAATTTAGATACAAATGTCAAAATGGCCCATGATTTCATGCGAGTGGCCCTTGACCTTATAAATATAATCGAGGGGAGAAACATTGCTGTGCATTCTCACACAGGATGTTTAGAGAAAGGTGAAGACTTAGGTCCCAAAAAGTGCAGTAGACCTCATTACAGGTCTCAGGCAGAAAGTCTGGTAGGCTAATAATGCCTGTATTGCTTTAAGTATGCATGATATTGTGCTGCTTTGAACGAAAGTTTTGACTCAGAGATGGGGAATTCCTTTTGCAAGAGTATCCAGGACATGCAGTTCTAAGCACTGGGCAAGATGTTTTTTACTCATTTAATCGTTCCTCGGGTAAGCAATAGTGATGTCGTGAACCGTTCGTGAACTTCCCGCGAACGGCTCGCCGCGGTTCGCCGTGAGCTCCAGTCAGCTGACACATCCCGGCCAATCTCCAGCAGACCCTCCCACCTCCTGGACAGCATTCATGTTGAAGGCAGCTTCAACATGGATGCTGTCCAGGAGGTGGGAGGGTCTGGGAGGGAGGGTCTGCTGGAGATTGGCCGGCATGTGTCAGCTGACCGGAGCTCGCCGCGAACGGTTCGTGGCGAACCGCGGCGAGCCGTTCGCGGGAAGTTCGCAAACGGTTCGCGACATCTCTAGTAAGCAACAGAGCTGATACAGGGGCACAGGGCAGGCCAGGCCAGGCGTGTGGTTTGCAGCTCCATCAGAAGCACAAAATAGTAATCGTTCCGTTACAGTCGTGCATTACTGTGATTTGCAACCGATAGAGATGCATACCACAGGCTTCAATACAAAGGCGTCCAGGCTGCTCTACATCTTGCGATTTGCATTGGGTGGGGGTTGGAGGAGGCCATTGACCGCGTCAGGCTCAGCAGCATTTGCGATCTGCTTGCTGCTGGTCTTTCTGCTTCCCTACCACCTCTGTCCTATTGCTCATTATCCCCTTAAAATAAAATAATTATCATGCTGGAATTTAACCCCTTAAGGACACATGACATGTGTGACATGTCATGATTCCCTTTTATTCCAGAAGTTTGGTTCTTAAGGGGTTAAACATGCTGAGCTGACCATGTAGAGTATCAATCCATTGGTGCATTCACAATCTATGTAATGCGTCTTCATTGAGTACTCACCAGAAGCTAATGCAGAGAACTGCCGAGATCTGTTGGCTATATCTACACCATGGAGAGCAGGGCACAGCCCCCGGATCAGCACTTGGCGAGTGTTCGCCATCATACGGAGACTCGACAGCATTGCTTTTTACACCACAAAGGAATTCACCACAAAATAAATGTATAGCTGCAAAAAATGGAAGGTGAATATTATGAATACTGAGACCACAAAAAATATGATTAATCCTAATTCAGTTCTTAACAAATATGATCAGAGCGTGAGCGTACACCATGGATTACAAGAAAATAATAGCATGGAGGGGTTCTCAAGACATCATAAACCAGAAGATAAAAGGTTCAGTCAGAAACCCAGGATGTATTGTTTTCCCCTCATGTCTAGGCTGCCTTAGGTTAACTTCCATCTCAGGTAACACAACACACCTCATGGCTCACAGTGTCCTTTCACTCTAAGCATTATGGGATAAAGACATTTATTCACAAAACTCCAAATGGCCTTTTTTTTTCTCTACATTTGCCATTTACGCCAAAAATGTACCAAAAGGTGTTTAATTCACTACAACTCCAAGTTTGCTTAGTAAACGTGAAAGTGAGAATTTGTGAGAATTTTAAAGTTTTATGACAACATAAATGACTTGTAGAAATTTCCCCACAAAATTTTAAATTAGCTTTGTAACTCCTGACAAATCCCAGTTTAATGAATCCCAGAGCAGTTTTCTATAACCCCAATAACTCAGTGTGTGTAATCAAAAGCCCATGGTCACTCACATCCCCTGTGATTCGGTTATCGGTGTCCTCTATAGACAGAAAGCATGGGGTTATGGGAGAGCTGATAGCACAGAGCAGGGACTAGGAGTTATATTAACAGTCACACTCCATTCTCCCAATAACATGAATTAGAATTCGGATGTAATTCTCCCGATAACATGAATTAGAATTCGGGTGTGATTCTCCAGATAACATGAATTAGAATTCGGGTGTGATTCTCCCGATAACATGAATTAGAATTCGGGTGTGATTCTCCCGATAACATGAATTAGAATTCGGGTGTGATTCTCCCGATAACATGAATTAGAATTCGGGTGTGATTCTCCCGATAACAGGAATTAGAATTCGGGTGTGAATCTCCCGATAACATGAATTAGAATTCGGGTGTCATTCTCCCGATAACAGGAATTAGAATTCGGGTGTGATTCTCCCGCTAACAGGAATTAGAATTCGGGTGTGATTCTCCCGATAACATGAACTCCCGATAACAGAATTAGAATTCGGGTGTGATTCTCCCGATAACATGAATTAGAATTCGGGTGTGATTCTCCCGATAACATGAATTAGAATTCGGGTGTGATTCTCCCGATAACATGAATTAGAATTCGGGTGTGATTCTCCCGATAACATGAATTAGAATTCGGGTGTGATTCTCCCGATAACATGAATTAGAATTCGGGTGTGATTCTCCCGATAACATGAATTAGAATTCGGGTGTGATTCTCCCGATAACATGAATTAGAATTCGGGTGTGATTCTCCCGATAACATGAATTAGAATTCGGGTGTGATTCTCCCGATAACATGAATTAGAATTCGGGTGTGATTCTCCCGATAACATGAATTAGAATTCGGGTGTCATTCTCCCGGTAACATGAATTAGAATTCGGGTGTGATTCTCCCGATAACATGAATTAGAATTCGGGTGTGATTCTCCCGGTAACATGAATTAGAATTCGGGTGTGATTCTCCCGGTAACATGAATTAGAATTCGGGTGTGATTCTCCCGATAACATGAATTAGAATTCGGGTGTGATTCTCCCGGTAACATGAATTAGAATTCGGGTGTGATTCTCCCGGTAACATGAATTAGAATTCGGGTGTGATTCTCCCGGTAACATGAATTAGAATTCGGTTTATACCCTGGTTGCAGCGCGTTAAGCCCCGGGCGCCGCCATCTTGTTGACCCTGTTTCGTCCCGTGTGGTCACGTGCTTCCAGGAGCCAACCGCCGCCCAGCCCCGCCTCTCCCATCAGCCGCCAGCGTGACTACATCTCCCGGCATTCCCGGCGGCTCGCTCACCCAATCAGCAGCGAGCCGAGAGCGATGGGCGGGGCCTGGCTCGGCCAATCCGGGCTCGCGGTGCTGGAGAGGCCCAGGCGCTGTGGCCGGGAGCGGAGAAGCGGCCCATGCCAGCGGGTCAGTAGGAGCCGCAGCCCAGCGGGGCCCGGGCTCTGGACATGCCGGTCCGCACCGAGGTGAGCAGCACGGCCTCCGGCACCTCGTCCCTCATCCCGCCGCCTCCCATCAACACACAGCAGCCCGGGGTGGCCACCACCCTCCTCTACAGCGGCTCCAAGTTCCGGGGACACCAGAAGAGCAAGGGCAACTCGTACGATGTGGAGGTGGTGCTGCAGGTAAACAGGCCGGGGACAGGGGGGGGGAACCGGGGGCCCAGGTGGGACAGGCCGGGTATGGAGGTGACAGGCTGGCATAAACAGGCTGGGGTGGGAGGGGACAGGGCTGGGGAAGGGGAACCGGGGACAGGCCGGCATAGGAGGGGACAGCCGCCTCCCATCAACACACAGCAGCCCGGGGTGGCCACCACCCTCCTCTACAGCGGCTCCAAGTTCCGGGGACACCAGAAGAGCAAGGGCAACTCGTACGATGTGGAGGTGGTGCTGCAGGTAAACAGGCCGGGGACAGGGGGGGGGAACCGGGGAGACAGGCCGGGTATAGGGAGGGACAGGGCTACAGGAACCGGGGAGGGACAGGGCTGTAGGTATGGGGTTGGGGGACTGGGTATGGGGTTCGGTTATAAAGGGGAGGACAGGTAGCATGGGGGTTTACATAAGGGTGACAGGCTGGGGGCCGGGTACTTAGGGAGACTGGGTATGGGGGGTTCGGTTGCATAAGGGGACAGGCTGGGGACTGGATATGGGGGCAGGTATAGGGGAGGACTGGGTATGGGGGTTGGTTATAAAGGGGACAGGCTGAGGGACTGGATGGGGAGGCAGGTATAGAGAGGACTGGGTATGGGGGGTTGGTTATAAGGGGACTACAGGTATGGGGGTTCGGTTTATAGGGGGACAGGCTGGGTATGGGGGGACTGGGTATGGGGAGGTTCGGTTATAAGGGGGACAGGCTGGAGGCTGGGTGGCAGGGGAGTTCAGTTATAAGGACAGGCTGGGGGCTGGGTATGGGGGTGGTTATAAAAGGGTGACAGGATGGGGGCCGGGTATAGGGGGACTGGGTATGGGGGTTGGTTATACAAGGGGACAGGCTGGGGGCTGGGTATGGGGGGGAGGTTTGGTTATAAGAGGACAGGCCAGGGGCCGGTATAGGGACAGCGGGTGTAGGTGGTGTGACTTTAGACAGGGGCCCCATAAAGTATAGGGGGGACAGCCGGGTATAGGTGGTGTGACTTTAGACAGGGGCCCCATAACCATGAATTTGTTTAACCATCCCTATGTGAAGAATGAAGGGGGTACACAAACTTTTAAAGGTCCTGTGGGATCATAATTCTTCCCTGCTTACTGGGTAATATTGGACTCTGAAGCTCTGGCAATGAGTCCAGCATGTTGGTGTCATGAGCAGTATGTCCTGCTTCGGGTATTTTAGCTTTGCAGGGCCAACAGCGTAGTCTGGAGAGGGTGGGTGTTACATTAGTGTGCCCATCATTCCTGGAACGGGGAGAGATATAAAGCCTCCTAAAGCAGTTTAAACATCTTTATAATAAAAATTGTAACACTATTGTAAGTGGAAAATCCATACACAGCTGGATACTGCTGTAACTGAAACAGAACTCATTATAAAAGCAGCACTCACTGTCACCTCCCCTTCCCAAATAAGTTTTGGTTCCAATCCATTTAAAAGATCTATACTGAGAGCAAGCTTGGCATTGGGCAAAGTTACCGTTGTCAAGCCTTGCCATTTCCTTCTATCACCAGTGACTTCTCTAGGGACATTGAGCTCTTTCTATGGAGCAGACCGCCATGACCACGAGAGACCGGTTCAGGTAAGTAAAGCTCTAGAAAAACAGCCACGCCATGGGTTTTCCTAAAAACGTATTACCATTATTCCAATATTACAGACTCTTTTGAGTTGACTGCGATTGAGACTTTATTAAATAAACCTCTCCGTTTTACATAGGTTAGTTAAAGCTTAGTAGCATTTCTGTGGAATAAAGTATTGACCTCAGTGTCTGTTTGGCGATACTCTTTATGTATCCACTGACCTGAACTGAACCCTACCCTGTGAGCATTGAATCATGGCTGTAATCTGAGTTATCAATTAGTGTTTGAGTACATAAGAACAAACAATAGATTACAGTCATATGCAGTTTAGTTTCAATTTGTCCCGACTGCCTATTTTGTCATCGTCCCTTTTGTAGGATCGGTTTTCCGTTGAACCTTTAGATTCCTTGGTGTTTTTATAAAGGGCAGTTCTACAGCAAAGTTCTAAAAGTGGAGCGATTGCCGTGGAAACATTAGAATGTTTCCCCAAATAGTCTGCCCTTCATATATTATACACATTATTATTCTGAACTGCCATCATTTTATTTAATTTGAGAAATTTTACTAGCAAGTGTTCATTTATAAACAACTCTCTTTGGCTACTTTACTCACTCCATAGCGAGGGATATAGGCATCTGCATTGACTACAGTTCATTGGCTGAGGGTCATAGGAGTTGCATTCCACCATAGCTGTAGTGCAGAGGTCTCTTGGCATTCTAATAAACTTGTCTGTGGCAGGATAGAGATTAACTCACACAGCAGCTATTGTGGATGCATTCACAATGAATGCTGGTCTGTTTACTTTGGGTTTAGTAGCATTTTGTTTATCCAGCATTTGATAGATATATGTTCACTCTGGCCATCTCTGCTGGCACAGAGCACGTGACGGTAAAAGAGTGCCATGCCAAGCTGATGGCTGGGTGTCAGCAATATGACGGCTACTTTTGGAAGGCGTGCTGGCAGAGCGGTGAGTCAGTGCTGACACCCTCTGGCTGCATCTGAATCATCATGGCTGTTGCATTTCCAAAAGATGCGTCACTTGGCTTGTTAAAAAAAAAAAACACAACATTTTTGCTGCCATGTCCATTTGAACCAGTGACAAGAATGCGTATAGTTTATTAACCTGACTTATTTAATGAGAACATAGTTAAAGGACATTCCAAGCCTCACATGGTGCAAAGTGTAAGTTAGATAACATCTATATGGGGTGGTTTTTATTATACTATTATAAAAACCTTGCTCCGTAAGCCCACTAGTTCCCCCTTTGTGCTCCAAAGGTACTGCTGTCTTAGATTTCTGGGAGTTGTAGTTCAGCTGTTAACTTTTTAAAGTAGAAAATTAGCATTTCAGCCACAATTTTCCAAATGCTGTCTGTGCTCATAAAGAATTTGTTCATTCTCAACAGTGTTATGGAAACATGATTAGCTGAGTCACTTGGATTAAGGGGAAGAATCCCCGCAGAAGCAATAAATATATATTGCATGCAGAATTACTGGGGGAATTATACGCTACAAACACTGGCATTTTTGCAGTCTTTGGGGTGAATTGCACATCATATCACTGGAAAGCTTAAAGCATTAATACAAGCACCATGATCACTTCACTGACCTGAAATGGTCATAGTTCCTGGAGACTGTATATGCGTAATGAAACGCTGCGCGTGCAGAGTTTAACCTGCTGCCAGATTTGTAACGCCACCTTTGGCTACATCGTGGGGGTTCAGTAACTTGCTTGGAACATGAGTTCCTGCCTAGCTAATGTGAATTCTCTACAAATTTGGCAGTAGCCTGGCATTGGACAAGTTTTATTTTATTTTTTTTTTAAACCCCTAATGACGGCATAGACCGTCACTGGTCTTAACACTATGTTTTGCTTTTTCTTTTCTACTATTCTTAAAGGGGATGTATAAGGTCTTTAATTACAGCAGATTTCTAGTTTCGACATGTTTAGGGTACTGGAGTGTTGTGATTGCATATAAGGTCACAGATCTGTAAAGGGTTAAATGTTTAGCATACCTTGGAACTAAACTCATTGTACTGTTCTCCCTCATTACTCCAGCCTTGCTGTGCTCAACTAATCTTTCTTTTGTTCTGCAGCATGTGGATATGGAGAATGCCTACCTGTGTGGATATTTGAAGATAAAAGGCCTTACCGAGGTAGGTCACAGTAGGTGCCCGGAGATTTAAAGGGCATTTATATAATGATCTGTTTTTAAAAGAACATGTGAAACACTCTGAAAGAGCCTTCTACTGTGAGCTGATTTGCCTCTTCCTACCTGCCGTCTGCAGTAAATCTTTAAGCCAATTCCCATCCGATGACATCCGCTGCTTCAGCCAGGAAATGGCAGAGGTATCCACCAAACCTCCGACATTCATTGAAACCAGTGGGAGAAGCTCTGTGCATGTTTTGTTAGATGTATGTGCAGTGCTCACTGTTACGAACGCTGGTATGGTAGATACCTGTTTGCCTGTTCGAACGGTTCCAGACGAATGCAGCATCCATGTAGTTTCTCCCCAGCCAGTAGACAGTTAAAAAAACAGCCTAGACTAGATGAAGGGTACAACAGGAATGAAGTTTAATGGTGCCATGCTGGCTTTTATGCAAGTCCCCATGCAAGGGACACTCCCACATGGACCTTGTTGGGGACTCCAACACAAAGTTAACAACCAATAACAATACAGTTACAAAGTGTGACACTCCCAATACAAACATATCCCTCCTCTCTGCCTGTGAGATAATTGAGTCAGATACTGTAATAAAACGTAAAAAGTACCCAAAAACACATAAAATCCACATAAATGTTATATCCCTTGATAGCCCTTATCTGGGTGACCAAAAATCACCCAGATCAGTTCAGAGGTTTTGGAATTTTATGGAAGTCTAATTTTGACCGACCACACGCGAGGGTCCTGCCCAGAAATGGTTCCATTAATTTTGGTTGTGCGGTTGGTGAAGTCTGGAAAGTCTCAAAAACTAACAAATGCTCGAACAGAACCCCCGGCTCATAGTAGCGATTGTTCCCCTGGTTCGTGGGAACAAAACTACCGAACGGCGCTCTCCTAGCTGTTCGGAAAAAGGAAGCAGGCGTTTGTATGGTTTGACCGGTGTTCGGGAAGTAGAGTGTCCAATTTTAGTTCCAGTCACTCAACGACCAAGTCCCGCTGCCTCCTTCGTGCGAACAAGATGGCCGCAGTTTTCTCCTGCAAATGGCGTTTGACTATGCGAACGGCGGCAACACAAGGAGAGCATTTAATCCACTGTTCTCTTTGAAGTTAATGAGGGGGGGGTCGTTGTTTAGTAGTTTCAGCTACCGAACCAATAAAAATAAAAGTCCAGAATAACATGGTGGTTTCATCACACTCACCTCTTTAGAATAAGTGAGAGCTGAAAACTGTGTGACAACAAGGAATAAAACTCTGGATATTTGCTCTGATCGATGCATGTTGTAGGTTTATCTGGAGAATCCTATTAGTGACATTTTACGTATCTAAACGTTTCACACAGTTATTTGGTCATAGTAGACACGAAAGGCAAACCATGTGGCACTAACTGCACCAGCTCCCCATTTTATCTTCGTAGCAGCAGTCAGACCGCTGATTACTGTACAGGAGTGCATGGACCTGACCGTCATCAGGGTAGGAAAGTGATGACCGTTTCAGTTACCGACAGGCTGATGTATTCACTGCTGTCATTCTGGGTAGTTTATTACAACTGCCATGTGTTTACCATGTGATTACTGTGAAAAACTATCAGGGCATTTACATGTGGGATTATCTGCCCGCTCCTCCTGGCTGTTCTTGCAAACCTTTACCTGAGCCAAATCTGTTTACATTTCATTTTGCGATTGTAGTATTTGTTGCAATCTTAGGATATCTTATTAGGTTGAAATTTCTTTCCTATATTATTTGTTTTTAGGAATACCCAACCCTCACCACCTTCTTTGAAGGAGAAATTATTAGCAAAAAGCACCCGTTCCTGACGAGAAAGTGGGATGCAGATGAAGATGTGGATCGTAAACACTGGGTAACCATTTCTGTTTTGTGCAATAATTTGACTGCTGGTAGTTCGCCAATCAGCTTAGTACGTTGGCCAAATTGGGGGAAGTTGCTCTGCCTGCCTTTTATTGGTTCTTACAGAGTGCCTTCTCCTCCTCCCTACCGGTACCATTTATTTCTAGAAGCCATTTTATGTTTGTGTCTTGCAGGGGAAGTTTCAAGCCTTCTATCAGTATGCAAAAACCTTCAATTCTGATGACTTTGGCTATGACGAGCTGAAGGTTGGAGATTATGTCTTCATGAGATGGAAGGTAACTTTGTTGATTCTGGTATACATTATTGCATGTCCTATGTTTTCTCCACCTTTTTTGTGCCATGAAATCCTTTTGCGTTGTGTGGTACTTGGCACGTTTTTACCCCGATATGCAGCTCATGACTAGCAATGTCCTTTGTATGTAATATCCATCACAACATTAAGTATGAAACGTGGTGCGTTTGCCATGGTCTTCAGGTGCCCCCGACTCTGGGCAGCAGCTTCAGGATCAGACTCCCAGGCACTAGTTTCTATGTCCACATTCATCAAGTGTAGCGTAGCAAGCTCGTCAAACACTAGAATGATTCTTCGCTGTTTAGAATGAAGACTTTTTGATGGTTGATATCAGCCAGGTCTGTTAATATCCTGGCTGTGTGTAAGGTTGCCTTCAGGAAGAGCGCTTCTATGGTTATATACAGTAAAGAAAAAAAATATATTATGCTAAGCATGCAACAGATCCAATAGCACTCTTATACTGGCATTTCAGATATTTGAGTGAAATATAATTTCCATGTTGACTCTTTGTCTCCTTTCTTGTTGACAGGAGCAGTTCTTGGTCCCTGATCACACAATCAAAGATATCAGTGGTGCTTCCTTTGCTGGTTTCTACTACATCTGCTTCCAGAAGTCTGCAGCATCCATAGAAGGCTATTACTACCATCGAAGCTCTGAATGGTAAGGAGCCATGACACTGCCCTCTCCCAGCGCAGGAGGAGAATAGGAGATTGAAATGTATTAACCTGCCTCCTATTTACTCACGATATCATGCGGAATTCTTCATTCTATTAAATTTCATTTAGTCTATTCAAATAAACCTTCATTACTCAACTTTAATGTTTACACAGTTGCCACCACCGTAGCGATGCTTGGTACCTTGGTATTTTAACAAGCGAGATTAGCTATATTCCTTGTCTGTTTTATTATATTTTTCATTTATAAGTTCGGAATGTTTTTATGCAGCGCTGGTGTAGACATAGTAGAAATCTCTGGTTGATTGTAAAGTAATATTTTCATTGGGAGAAAACAGATCCTATTTAAATTGGAATGATCAGCAACCGGATCGCTGTTCAAAGAAAACTATCACAGCTCAATCTATACATCGGGAGATTTCTCAAAGTATTCTGTTCTAAAAAAGGTTTCACCAATAGGCTGTACAATGTGTAATTTAGGACACATTGTATCATTTGAATATATAGATGTATGTTCAGTGAGATCTGTAGGGGTATGTAGAATTGTGCGACACATCTGGTTATAGCTTTATTGTTTTGGAGTTTAAACTTCACCTCCTTTCTGAAATCAGGTGTGCGACAAAACAGAAATCCCTTTCATGAAGACTTGTTAATACTGTAACCTCCTTTACACGCAAAAGGCTATGCTATAAAATAAGGTCAGGGACTAAATAAAAGTATTTAGAAAATTGGGCAGACTAGATGGGCTGAATGGTCCTTATCTGCCGTCACATTCCATGTTTCTACTTGGTGTTTGAATGAACACCAGTTAAAGGTTAGATTTTTTTATTGGCTATAAAGTGTCACTAATATGCCTGATTTTTAAATGAGTCTAATAATAAAAATGGAAGTTTGACGTGATACTGAAATTGAAAATTTTGACATGTCCGAATTCTGAACATTACTCATACTAAATGTATAGTGGCTGGAATGGGGTCTGATCTAGTAACGTTCAGTGATCCCTGGACTCTGACATGATGTATTTGCAGCAATCCTAGCTACTCGTTCACTAAATGTGATTGAAAGCAGCTTTTCCATGTGACGTATTTTCAGAATTCATAGATTGGTTTACTGTTTCCAGGGATTATTTAATTTTGTGCATTTTTTTTTTTTTTTATTAAGTGTAAATCCCAGTGTTTTGTCTTTTGAACATGTAAAAAAAATGGTGACTGGTCAGACATGTTCCTCTTTATAGGAGTATTAATTATGAGCAATAGGGTTTATTCAATGATACAGTAATTGCGAAGAATCAGAGAAGGAATTAGGCCAAAATATAACCCGCCTGAAACAATCTAAATCTGCTGACTTAACAGCTTGGATGTGTAAAAAAGTTTACTTTCTTGCTTAGTAACTAGCATACACTTAGTGCCACAGCCAGAGAGAATCTGCTTCCTGGTCAGAGCAGAACGAACCTGATACAAGCTCCTACACGAGATACCAGGAGCCGGAAACCCTGCATAGTCTTGCAGCCCTTTTTTATTGTGTTTTCACAGCTCTCTGTAGCCCCTAATTGAGTGGGTTATCCTGTTTGGTCCAGGTACTTAAGAAAAAGATTGTTCCGATGATTTGGACAGTAACTGGTCCCTAGGGGTGAGATTCACTTAGTGCATTTAGCCCAATATTAATCATATCATATCATACGCCTGATCAGAAATGTCAAAACCCTACACTTTGCATTACAAAAGAAGTAGACTTAATCAGCTTTCCCCTAACAATCACTTCCCATGGGTTTAATGGTCTGGTTTGTCTCCCTATAATGAAGAAATCTGTATTTGTGAGATGAGACAATAAAATGTAGAAATACACACTTTATTCTGTGACAGTGAGCTGCCATCTTAGCTCCTTGTCCATCATTGTTTTAAGCTCTGTCCTTTACCCTTGGAAGTCAGCTTAGAGAGAGCATACAGAGTAAAGGAGAAATGAAGCAAGCTTTATATTTCCTTTCTTAATTTGCAATGCTTCTTTTCCAAACTGGAGTGGGTCATTTCCAAAAAATGTAATATACATTAGACTGTCTCATGAAAAAAAGGGGGCTGGCACAATTTTTTTTATTTTATTATTTATTTTTTTTACATTTTTTTTTTTTCAATGGCTTTAATTCCAGAGAATTGTCAGTTCCCTTTAAGCTGCTTCCTAGAGAGCTGGTTTGCATATAGGATGGGGGAAGTTTTTGGAATACTGTTAATTCCTGCAGCATTCCCTCCTAAAAGCATGACTTTCATCCATCATGAGCAATGTTTACCCACCCAGATTCTAAGGCGCTAATGGTGAGTGCGTGTCCTTGCAATGTGAACACAGTCTGGTAAAACATATTCATTTTTGTTAGGGTAAGCACCGCTCCCGACTGATCATCACTCGGGTAGAGAGTGACATGGGAGTAAACTGTTTTTCTTTAATATTAAACATAGAAAATCCCTTCACAACTGTTACTGTAAACTAAATATTCCACTTTCTCTTCTCTTCCATATAGGTATCAGTCTTTAAATCTGACACATGTCCCAGAACACAGTGCGCCCATCTATGAATTCCGGTGACAGAAGACCTGGCTCTGAGCCCACGGCGACAGAATGGGGTTATCCATGCAGGGATATGCTACTCTCCTCTTCTGTCAATAGACTTTAAGAAGAATGTATGAGTGTTAAAGAAACGGCGCCATAAGCTGGCGTCATCCCTCCCCAACAAGTCGCAGATTTTATTATGGCTTTTTTTTTTTCTTCTCATTGGTTCATAAGCTATAAGTTTTGAACAGCTTTCTGTTATGTTTTTTTATTTACTATATGCACATGACTCGAAAACCCCATTGGTTTTTCTTCTGAATGCAAGATTCCAGCTGACACCTACATGGTTTTTCAGTTCCAGCTGCGGGGCAGATGGCTGCCGCTCACGAAGTGTCATTTGTGCATTTTTTTTTTTCTCTTCAGTGCATCACCACTTGTGACACTTGACGTCTGCGATCTTTGCTGCATCTTGACAGATTGACTGCATTAATATCTCCAAGCATTAAGCGGAGACTTGCGTTACTGCGTCAGCCAATCCTAAACGGGTTACACACTCCATTAAAAGAGCAAAATGTATTTTTATTTTTACCCCAAAACCCACCCTCCCCAAATCCTGAAATCTTAACCACCTATGAAATAATAAAATGGAAATTATTTTTAGGGCCCTTTTTTTAAGAAGGTCCCAATAGCAGAAAGATTTAGTTATGTTGGACTGCAATACATTTGACTGTTTTCACATTGAAAATGGCAAATGTCAGATTTTTCTAAAATATATAAATATATATATATATATTATAAATACACATATTTAATCAGAACATAAATCTGAGAGCTGCTTGCACGCAGACACAAGATGTAATGAGACATGGTAAGTCTTCTGATCTAATCTGTAATGACTGCCACTGCATCAGTACCAGACCGTGAAATCATGAAGTCTGTGTCCTGCATCCTAAGTGCCCCAAGTCAATGGAAGACTGGTCTTCACTGCAGGAAGAGAACCTCACCGTAACAGTCCCTTTATTTGGCACACGGTGGAAGTTTGGAAAAGCCACGTGCTCCAATCAAATAACGATACCTTCAACCTCTACAGCAAGATTTTTTTTTTTTTAAAATTGACTCATTGCAAGGGATTACATTGTTTATGCTGCAGGCTTTGGTAAAATCTGTGGGAATAGCTCTGAACTTTGCAACCCATGCTGTGTTCGTAGGACTTTAAAAGGCGATCAGCACCTGCGAAGCTTGATCCCTCTCCAAAAGCTACAAAATCCTTTATTACGCTGGAGCTTTACAACCCAAATTTCTGCTTGGGAATTAGTGTCACAAAATCCATTTAACCACTGTTGTTAGCAGTTAGGTTTACTGATCCACCAACAGGGGAGTGGTTAATGGAAATGACACCGTTGTCTTGTATGAGTTAAAAAAACAAAAAAAAAAACCCTTTATAAATAACCCGCATCTTTGTTACACTTCAGTGTTGTTGAAACTGGGATGATTCTATGTGTCTGCTCTTCTAAGCTTTTGCAATGTGTGGGTAAAACGAGTGAGCAGACCTGGGCAATGTGTTATTCAGAATATAGATGTTGATACATTCTGTCATCTGGCTCCCTGCAATGCATTGTGGTTAACAAAGTGGCAAAATAACACTCTACATTGTGCCATGTTGGTGTTTTGCTTTGATTTTATTTAAAGCAGAGCTGACCCCCCCCCCCCTGCTGTTGGTGAGCTAAAACTGCAATACTCAGCCAGAGTTTAAGCTAAATAGGGATAGGCAACAGGTATAGCATTTATTTTTAATAGAGCTGCAATTTGTTGTGTTTTAAAGGGCCATGGCTATCTCTAGTATTGCAGCACTCCGAAGACATTATTTACATACCTCGTTTGCAGTCTAAATAAATATATATCGACCATAATGAAAATACCTGGTTGCAAGAAAAAGATTGCAAAGTAACTTCATATAGATCTTCCAGTAATTTGCTGCTCACTTGGAATCATAGGCTGGGACACCGTGAAAGTCCTTTGGCCACAGTTTGAGAACCATAGCAATAGCATTTTCACAGTTGGGGAGATTTATCAAAATGTTTAGAACTCTCTTTTTGTGGCATCCAATCTGTTATTTATTAAATAGTAAAAAGTGTCAGCTTTTCTGGCAAGGGGAAAATTGATGTAAAGATTTGCTAGATGTGCAGCGTTTAATAGCATTAATAATTGTGTGTTTAAAACCTATAAAAAGAGCAATAGGTGGGGAGGCAGACTAAATAAAAACTAAACAAGAAGCAAAACGGTCTGCAACACTTTAATAATAATCTACTCCCAAATTTCTCTAACAAACTCTGCAGTTTGCAATACTCACAGTGTGTCTCTCAAGACTTGTGAATTTGAAGTGATGTTCAAATGTTAAGCCAAAATAACTGAACCGATTTTAATTTTTCTAATTTTGCTTTTTGAAACTTGTTTTAAATGACCAACTATTCACAAATTGGTGAATAAGCCTGACAGGTTAACTAAATGAGGCTTCAGAGTTGGATTAATTCCCAAATAACAAAGCTCACATTGCCTTTTTCATTAACCAGCCGTGACATTGCTCTTACTGACTGCAATGCTCATCATACGTGTCAAAGAGTGCCAGGTCCTGGGTTGTGAAGATGTCTGAAATTAAACTTTCAGAGGGCCAGAGGAGTGCAAAATGTAAAGAAAATATCTTTTACAGCCATAGCCAATAATTTACTTTATAAGCAGCATATTAGTATCTGATAAGGTTTTAATTGTGTTATTAAAGGCACAGACTACAGCTTCTTAGCAATTTAAGGACCGATAGTTTTACTTGCAATTCTGGCAATTTATGCCATCTTGAACTTGCAAGTTTACCTTTAGCAGATCTAATAAGGGCAGCTGCTGCCAAGAAAGACAACTGAGTGTCGGCATAGGGTCTTTAAGGGCTAGATTGTTATGACAACATAGAAAATCATTGGTTATTTAAGGATGTTAAGGACTTTGTAAATCATCCATTAATTATTAATAATGATCCAAAAAAAAAAAAACTAAGCATTTATGTTTCTTATTATATAATCATTCTCAAAATTGAGCCCTAGTACGTGTTCTTGTATGGGGTTACTGTCGGTCAGAGTGTGGGCATGGTACTATAAGAGGGGTTTTAAAACTCCTGGCCCCCAGCTGTTAGGGCACATCTCCCAGAACCTTTCCAATACTTTTTTTCTGGCAAAGAAGTTTGGGAAATGTAGTTTGCTTACAGCTGAAGGTTATGTGTTTGAATGCATCTCTTTAAGACCTGTCTATTAAATCTTGGGGTAGCTTCTGAGTCAGACACCCTAACACAGATGGCTACGGTTGCAAACCTGTGTATTTGGTATTATGATTGTATGAAAGTATAGTTTTCTGAATAATACAAATTTCAATTCCTTGGCTCGCAGGGCTTTATACACAAAACCAGGAATGGTGAAGATTGAACAATTGAATCGCAAATAGTCCAAGAACGTAAACCTAGATCAATTCTCCAATCTAGCAATTTGTGGCCCAATCTCCCTAGATCATTGTGTGCAAATGGCAGTGTTCAGATTGCTATCAGGTTATAGTTACAGTATACCAAACATAGCACTCCACCAGTTTAGCCAACAGACTTCTAATTAATCTGTTAATGGAGCTGTGTGAATTATATCTATTTATTTTTACCTTGCGGAGACAGCTGCTCTTAAAGGGACACAGTAGTCACGGTAACGGAGTCATCTTATTGAAGTGGATAACGTGTTTGGGTTCCCATGGCACGGACCTAAAGTTCAGTTTTAAACCGTTTTTAATAGTTTAGTGAATAAAAGAGTCTCCAGCAGCCTATCTCCTCTGTGCTGCTCGGGCTAATGAGGAAACCAACTGGCTTCATCCTATTCTAGCACCCATTACTGTCATGAATTGGTGTGGCTAAGATGCAGTCTCTGCCTTACCCATATCCCCAGTTGGAGCCAGGCTGGTGTGACCAAGAACCTTTATGCAGAGTTAAACTGCTCGTAGGGTGGTTTTACACTGAATGGAGGGACTATAACCAATTTAGTGAGCTAAAATGTGTCCCTTTAAATCCAGTTGTTCAGTCATTAAAATATCCATCAAAACGCCACTAACAAGAGATACGCTGTACCTATTTCTGCTTTCACGAAGCCAGAATCTAATATACCATGCACTTGCTTTTCCTTCTCCTGGGATCTGGCGTTTGGCATAAACCAAGCACAAGGTGAAGAAAGAG